TTCGTTGTAAACATGTGCAAGAATTTCGCGGATTGAGGGCAGTTCGTGTTCAACATTCTTTGGCGCCGCGCACATTCGATTTCAACATTTGTAAGAGTGTCACGGGGTCTCATTGTTAACGTATCAGAAATAATATCTTAGAATGATGAAGGATTGTCAAGGCGCAACCGTTACGTTGACCATATGTGTTGGAATCCCAGCAGTGGTGTTCTGGCACGAGCCAAGCTCATCAAGACGCAACATTCATGTTAACCCGAGGCGTCAAGTCCTGAAAATGGTGTCTTGGCACGCCCCAGGATTTTCACACGGTTGTCCCTCAACGGGGCAATTTCCTCAGCGGAAATTAACCCTTGTACGGGGCCTGTGTAGAGGGAGCTTAGAGGGAGGGTGCATTCCAACATCGTTGATGAGTCTTGGGTTTGCACTGGTCCTTCCCCTCCTCCTCCTCCTCCTCCTCCGCCTCCTCCTCGTCCTCCTCCTCATCCTCCTTCCCTTCCCCATCCTCCCGCACGGCCCGGGAGGGGGCAGGGGGGGGGGGCAGGAGGAGAGGGACTGGGACTTTGATGCTGCCTCTCGGGCCTCCCAGAGGGGAAGGGCCTGCTGACCGGGGGCGGGCCTCGCTGCCACGGCCGAGGCTCGCCTCGGAGTCGTGCTCGGCACGCGCCCTGGTGACGAGTCCACGGAGGGAGGGGGGCAGACCTTCGCCTCCCTGAGAAGCCACGGCGGCCAACTCATCGACGTTGGGCCTCTGGGGGCCGGGGGCGCGCTCTGGGCCCGTGGCGAGGGGCCGGCCCCGGCCCCGTGGATGGGGTCGAGGGCTCGGTGGCCCAAGTCGTGAACAAAAAGCCAAGGCGTCGGAAGTGGGGGGGGAGGGGGGGCACGGACCAGAGAGGGGGGGAGGAAGGGGGCAGGGGCGGGACGGAGGAGGGGGAGGATGCGAGGGGGCAGGGAGGGGAGGGGAACGATAGGAGGGACTGGCAAGAGCCGAGCAACAAAAACGAGGCCGAAACAACATTTACCCGAGGCTGAAGCGACGCCTTCTTCCTCCCCGCCAGAGCGCAGCACCATCGGGCCCCCGACGCGCGCGCACACGAGGCTGTAGAAGGCGCCGGCCTTACATCTATAGATAAGGCCCGCGCCTTCTAAGAAGCAGGGGTGCTTCTAAGAAGCCCTCCCCCCTCCCCCCACCCCCCCTCTACGTGTGGCTGAGGCTGCTTCGCCACAAGCCGTGCGGGGAGCAGCGGACGGCGGCGGCGGAGCAAGCAGGCAGGCAAGCAAGCAGATCCGGCCGGGGGGCTCGAAGAGCCGCACGCCCCATAAATGGGAGCGGAGACGAGGCCAGCCCAGACCAGCACCGCCAGAGCCAGCCCCAGAGCGCCAGCGCCGCGACCCCGAGACAGCGAGTGCGCGCCACGCCAGGGGCAGAGCCGTGGGCCGTGGGCGCAGGGCGCAGAACAGTCTGGCGGGCAGCGCTGGCGGCGCGCACGAGAGGGCTGCTTCTTCGCAGGCGCCGGCCTCACATCTATAGATGAGGCCCGCGCCTTCTGAGAAGCAAGGGTGCTTCGATAGAAGAAGAGAGCACGGCAAAGACATAAACCTTTGGCGTTCCGCGCAGATCTCTTGGATCTGCACTGGGCCCCCCTCCCTGGCGCGCGGAGCGCGCCAGGGGCGGCGCTGGAGCCGCCGCCGGGGGGGCCCCGGCGCGGATCCAAGAAGTCCGCGCGGAGCGCCAAAAGTTTCTGCTTCTGGCGCCTTCTCTTCTTCGATCGCCCCCCCCTCCCCCCCATGCCCCACTCTGCGCGCAGCCGACGGCGCCCAGGACCGAAGGGTCTGCGGGGGCCTCGCGCGCCGCGGGCCCGCCCCCCGGGGCCAGTGGCTGCGCGGCCGAGGGGGGCGCGGAGCGAGGCGCGCGCGGCGGGCGGGAACCGCGCGACGGCACGAGCGGAGGCCTCGCCCCGCGAGGTGGGTCGAGGACGCACTGGCCCAGGTCGGTGCAGACCCAGGCCAGTCAGGCCTTGCAGCATCCTGCAGGGTCCTGCAGTTTGGGGCCTGGAAGCGGGCACCAACACCAGCACAGGGGGTTGCCTTCACCAGAGGGGGGACGACCCCAGATTTCGGTGCTGGTGGTAATGTTTCGGCCGCCTTGGGAGCCAGGATGTTGCCACCGTCACCGAGATCGGGATCTGCTTCCCTCGGCGGAGGCACACCGCCGATGCTGCTGCTGGTGTCAACCTCTGGGCCTGTGACGCGGAGTCCTGCAGGATCCCGCGCCCTGGCCCGGGCCGGTGCAGCCCGGGCTCTGCGGGATCCTGCCAGAGCCGGCGCCCTGGCTGACCCCCAGTCTGTGCTGAACACCCCGACGTGGGCGGAGAGCCGCGGCGCGGGCTGCCCCGAGCTGGGGGCTCGGGCGGAGGCGCGAGGCCGCGGGCGGCCCCACAGGCCCCAGTGTCTTCCATCGGACCAGGGGCCTCCGGGACCGGCCCCGGAAGGGCCCCCTGGAAGCACCCCGGATGGCGCCGAGAGAGCCCTGGTGCTGCCCCAGTCGGGCTTCTAGAGCGGCCTCCTCCTCCTCCTCCTCCTCCTCCTCCTCCTCCTCCTCCTCCTCTCCTCCTCCTCCTCCTCCTCCTCCTCCTCCTTCTCCTCCTTCCTCCCCCGAGAGGCCTCCGAGAGGCTTCCCGAGCTTCCCGTGCTGGCCACCGTTGGGGGCCGCCCGGGCTAGCTCTGGCGTCGGATTGGAGCCTGCAGCGCGAGCTTGGAAAATACGTGGCGATGGACTCCCGAGCCTGCTCGGGCTAATGCCGCGCTTCGGTGTGCAGGCTGCCCCCCTCTTTAATTCGACTAGATGCTTCTACACGTCCCTGCTCAAAACGACTCCACGGTGAGGCAATTCTGGGTGAGTTGGTGGGGATACTTTTAAGTCGCGGCCGCCAGCGAAAGCGCATGGGGCGTCCGAAAGGTCGAGCGGGCTACGCGCGAGCCTAATTACACAGCGACCGAGCGCGGGATCAGAACCTAAAGTTGGTGAGGATACGCGAAGCGTCAACCATGTGGGACTCGATTTCGATAAGCCGACGTATGATGTCCAACTGATTGGTTGACGTTCTGCGCTCTCGTCTCGGGTGATTTGTGACGCCATCACCTTTCGGTGTACATCTTGTCTCCGCTCCAAGCTTCACTCCCAAGTTTCACGAGCCGTACCATGGCCGAGACTTAGGTGAAGGGGTGCCGAGGCTAACCTGATCCGCACCAAAGGCGCACCTTGAGCCCCGAAAGATGACGGTAAAGTGCAAGCCTGGAGCAACACACGCCAGGACTGGTGCACCAACCTCAAGACACCGCAATGAGCCGAAGTTGCCCAACGACCCGACCCGTCTCTGGACGCGGCAGCAGCACCGAGGAAGTGCTATCCTGCCAGCGTCCCGCCGCCTCAGTATAGGCCACCAAAAGCCCCCCCCCCACTGCCCAGCTGCCCCCCCCACCTCCCGCTGCGCCCCGCGGGTGGGCCCTACTTGAGGTCGGGCAATGCAGCAGCAGCTGTCGCACGACTCGTGCCTACTCAGGCGTCAGATGTCATGGTAGGATTGCTCAGGATGCGTTTCGAGATTTCCAAAACATATCCAGCGGCCCTCGTTTCTGCAGCCCACGTGAAACGTCAGGAAACATTAGGAACCCTGGGAAACCTTGGAAATCTCGGAACGTCTCATTATCATGACGTCTTGCGCCTCTGAATGGTGCGACAAAGCTGGCGGATGATGCAGCAGGAAGCTGAGGGGGGAGGAGGTGAAGGAGGAAGAGGGAGGATGGAGGAGGGATCAAGGAGGAGGCAAAGGTTGCGGATTATGCAGCAGGAAGCTGGAAGCCAGAAGCAGGACTGGCCTGTCTCCGAGAGAGGCGGGCTGAAGAGAGAAAGGGGCAGAGGTGCGACGCAAGAGAAGACACCACAAAGTTGGCCACGCAGCCGCCATCATCATCAGCATGATCATGCTCATCATCATCATCATCATCATCATCATCATCATCATCATCATCATCATCATCATCATCATCATCAGCATCATCATCATCAGCAGCAGCAGCAGCAGCAGCAACATCATCACCAACAACACCGTCATCAGCAGCAGAAACAGCATCATCGTCATTACCGCCATCATCCTCAACACCATCATCATCATCATCATCATCATCATCATCACCATCAACAGCTCTGTCGTCATCATCATCATGCTCATCATCATCAGCACCGTCATCATCATCATCATCATCATCGTCATCATCATAATTGCCACCATCATCAGCATCGTCATCATTATCATCGTCAGCATCGGCATCATCGTCATCATCGTCATCATCATCTTCATCAGCACCATCCTCATCACCATTACCATCACAATCACCAGCACCATCACAATCATAATCATCAGCAGCATCATCATCAGTGTCATCATCAGTATCATCGTGGGTATCATCATCAGTATCATCATCAGTGCCAGCAATAGCATCAGCATCAGCATCATCAGCATCATCATCACCAACATTACCAACGCCATCAGCAACACCATGATCATTATCATCGCCATGACCATCATCAGCAGAATTATCGTCATCATCATCATCATCATCATCATCATCATCATCATCATCATCATCATCGTCATCGTCGTCGTCATCATCATCATCTTCAACGTCATAAGCATCATCCTCATCATCGCCATCATAGTAATCATCAGCGTCCCCATCATCATTGTCAGTGCCATTCATAAAATAAAATCGCCAGGCGGCTGGTATTGCGAAGCAGGCGGCACAAGCCGATAAAACATGTCCACTACGCAGAGACAACGCTAAAGGTGGGGGATACACGCAAGAAGAGAATCCACAGACGATGAGACAGCAGGAGGAGGCAGCGCAGAAGCAGAAGCAAAAGCAGGACCAGCAAAGCGAAAGGGGAAGCCCCTCCCCCTCTCGTCCTTCTTCATCCCCCAACAAAGGAGCAGGAGAGATTCCTTGAAAATCTCGACAAGTCTCAGCGCGCGTACGATCCGCAGTAGCCGCAGGAACCGGATGATCATGACCTGCAGGAGGGGCAGAAGCCAACATCACCCAGACCGCTACCTCGTGTTCCAACCTCCTCCCTGGAGGAGAAGTGGAGGTAAGGGGAGGGGGTGGAGGCAAGGAGAGAGAGAGGGTGGAGGTGAGGCGAAGGAGATGAGGAAGGCGGAGAGGATGAGAGGGGGCCATGGGGGAGGGCAAGGAACCAGCAAGAAGTGGGGATGAGCAATGGAAGGGGGGGTTGAGGGAGGTGGCCAAGAGGAGGCGGGGCAAGGCGAGGGCGACGGGGGCGAGAGGAAGAGGAAGGGCGAGTGGAGAGAGGAAATGGAACGCATCGATCGCTGAACTCTTCGGGCCTCCGCTGCATGCCAGAGCAAGCACAGCCTGTTCTTGTTCCCCCCCCCGCCTGCAGCACGAGGACGGCATGGAAGCAGCAGCGAGGAGACGGCCGTGAGCACCACCAGGCGCCCGACAGGCGCCCGCACTCTAGCCAGCAGGTGTCTGCATCCATCGCGGCACCAGGCGCTCCTTCTCACTCGAGCTGCACCACATGAGCTCGTCCGGCAGGAAGTCGAAGAGCACTCGGTGCTCCTCCTTCTCGTCTGCTCGCAAGCCGTCGAAAAACCGATGCATGAGGCAGTACAAGGGCGGCAGTCTGCCAGCGGGGTCGAACTTCAGAAGCTGCGCCGCCAGGTCGCACGCATCCCGCGAGGCCATGTGCTTGAACACCTCATCCCATGTCAGCGGTGCGACATCGGGCTTGAAAGAGTACGGCGGGTAGCAGGGGTTCATTGCCTGCAGCTCCTTGGGAGAAGGAGTGCCCATGACCTTTATTATCTGCACCAGCTGATCGATCCCGTTGCTTCCCGTGAACATCGGCTGGCCCAGAATCATCTCCCCCAGGACACACCCAGCCGACCAGAGATCGACACTGGTGCCATAATTGGTGGCCCCTAGGATGAGCTCCGGGGCCCGATAGTATCTGCTGCACACATAAGATGAAAGCGACCTGCCAACATGAAGCCGTTTAGCCGTGCCGAAATCGGCCACCTTCAGCGTGTGCGTTCGTCCGTCAAGGAGGAGGTTCTGCGGCTTCAGATCGCAGTGCATGATTCCTTGGCCATGGACGAAGGCAAGCCCCCGCATCAACTGATACTGGTACAATTGGACGTAATACTGGTCCATGTTTTTCCGGAGGACATTCATGTAATGCTTGAGGACTCGGTGCAAGGTGTCAGACATGTATTCCAAAACGAGGTTCAACTTGTACTCACCGTTGTTATCGTCCGACTTTGTCAAGAAAGCACCGCGCAAGTTCACGATGTTCGGATGCCCGTCCAACTCTTTCAAGACCTGCACCTCGCGCTCGTTCTCGCCGTTCATCTGGATCCACGAGTCCCCCCCCGCCTTCTTCATGCGCGTGGACTTCAGGGCCACGGTATCTCCCGACTCCTCGACACTCGCCTGGTACACCAGGCCGAACGAGCCTCTCCCCAACACTCTCTGGACCGTGTAGGTGCGTGGATTCAGCTCCGGGAGCGGGTCCGCCTGGCGCTTCTTGCCCTGCTCCATGGCCCGCGCTGCGCCGCTGGAGACGCAGCGGCGGGACGAGCCGCCCTGCGCCAGAGCGGCCTTGAGCCGAAACTACTACGGACCAGCACAGGCACTGCCTCTCTGCCCCGAACCGACGACCTCGCCCCGTGGCTATCGCAGGCCACCTGGAGGGCTGGCGGGCCCGCGAGGCAAAGATGGCTGGCCCGAGCCTGCCGAGAGTGGGGATCTGTTGGCCGTTGCTTCGCCACTCAAGGGCATGCCTGGGTCCCTCCTCCCCCTCCTCCTCCTCCTCCTCCTCCTCCTCCTCCTCCTCCTCCTCCTCCTCCTCCTCCTCATCCTCCTTCTCGTCCTCCTCGGAGCTCGAAGCGGACGGCCGGTCTGTCCTGGGAGGCTGGGGCGGTGGGCTGCCCTGGGATATCCCCGGGTCGTCGGTGCAAGCGCCAGCGGTACGAAGACCAAGAGGTAGAGTGCGAGGCGGGGAGTTATCCATGTCCACCGCCTGGGAAACGACATCCTGGTGCCCCAGCGGGCGGTGGATATGGATATTTTGGCCCCCGGGGGCCCGAATAGATCCATGTCCACCGCCTGCGAGGTCCCCGAAAATTGATCCTCCAGGCGGTGTTCATGTAAAAATTCCCTCCTCGGATAGAGAGGGAAGGAGGAGCGACAGGACGGTGGGCACGCCGCGGGCAGCTGCAGGAAGAGCTGGCCAGGGGGAGGCCGTGGGCGCCCGTGGGCGCCGGAGCTGGTGGGCAGTAACTACTCGTGATGGTGGTGGCCCGAGCGAGGGCCCAACCCTTTGTGCAGAGAGGGAGGAGGAGGAGGAGGAGGAGGAGGAGGAGGAGGAGGAGGAGGAGGAGGAGGAGGAGGAGGAGGAGGAGGAGGAGAGAGAGGAGGAGGGGGAGGGAGGAGGAGGAGGAGGAGGAGGAGGAGGAGGAGGAGGAGGAGGAGGGAGGAGGAGGAGGAGGCGGAGGAGGGGGACCCACCTCGGCGCGCTCCTGCCCCCAGCCGGAGGTGCGTACAAGGCAGGGAGATGGAGCTCCCGTGCGTGCGCAGTGCGGCGCGGCGGCGCACAGGAGGGGCGGCGTGGTGGGGGGGGAGGAGGCACGGGCGAGGCCCCATCTGGGGGGGCGGTGCTGGTGCCGATGCTCCTCGTAACACGAAGGGGGACTGTGCCACGGGTCCAGCGGCTGGCATTTCGGTGGGGCCGGAGTTGATGGAGTGTTTGGCGGGGGTCGCTGCTGACGGTGATCTGTCGCTCCCCCCACCCTCTGAAGCCACTCATCCCTGACTAAGTAGTTGGCTGGCGGATGCGAGGTCTGTGGGTTGTCCTCGTGCTGGTTAATCGGTGGAGGCTGCTCCTGGGAGACATCGTTCTTCGTGCCAGTATCTGCCTCGTGGTAGGTGGTGGGTGCTCCACTGGTTGGTCGATGCCTCGTCGTTCTGTCGTGGGCGAGGACCTGGAAAGCGCTTCTGTATTCTGGGTGTTGGCGTTGGGCCGGAGGGGGCGGAGGGGGAGGGGTCTGGGTCTGGGCCGGTGCTTAATCGATCTGACTTTGGCAGTCGTGCAAGCAGACTGGGAGGGTGGTCCTGACCGGTCGCCAAAGCAGCCGCCCAAAGCAGCCGAAACCTGGTCTATGGGGGGTAGGGGGGCGGGACCGGGGCCCGCGCCGATCGGCGAAACAATTAATAACAAATAACTACCTGGTCGATGAGCTGGGAGATTGCTTGCTTGCGTACGGCTTGGTTTGGAATGCAATCCCACCAGCCCTCTGGGCTGAGTGGTCTAACGGAGTTCCTTACCACAACACCTCCTTCCCCTGCTCAGGGGAGGGGTTTATCACTGTTCCCTATTAATATACACCCCCTCCCCCAGGCGACCGGCAGCCAGCCAGGGACAATGAGGGCACCATGCTCCCCACCCCCACCATCCCTGTCAAAAAACATTATAAACCGCACTCTGCCTCCAGATTTGGAGCATGCGCGGCCAACCCGATGCGGCGCCCCCCACAATCCCTGTCAGAAAACAACACAAGGTTCACTTTGGGGGAAAGTCTTGAGTCATGTTCGTGAGGCCCGCAAGCAGTTTGTATTGTGTTTGACAAGGACGGCGGGGGTGTCAGCATATTGCCTGCTGCGCGCAGGGCTACCATCCCTGACAAAAAACAGTACAACGTGCACCTCGCGGCTAAATCTGGATCATGCGCGGCCACCCCGCGATCACTGTCAAGTGGTTTTTGACAGGGACGGCGGGGGTGCTGTCGCGTGGCCTGCTGTGCGCAGGCCCACCAGACACAATGATGGGCATTGGTTTTCAACAAGGATGGCGGGGGCCACCATGGTTCCCGATGTGTGCTGTCACGTGCGCATGCGCACTTGACGCACCCTGCACGTGCCCCGAGCGTGGCGCACCTGGCGCGGCTGGAGTGTGCGGCACAGCTGGCGCACGTGGAGCACGTGGCGCATCTGGCGCACCAGGCGTGCCTGGCACGCTCGGGCCCCTGGGGTGCCTGGCGCGCGTGGCGCCCCTGGCACGCGTAGCGCACCTCGCACAAGCGTCGCGCACCTGGGGTCGGCTTTGGCACCCAGGAACTGCCCATCCAAAGACGACTGGGTGTTACTTACGTGTTGGGAGGGCGGGTGGGAGTGAGCTAGACGGCTTTCGGGCGGGTGGGTAGCTTGACCCTTCCCCCTCCCCCTCCCGTGGGCCTGGGAAGGGGGGGGCCGAGCCGTCAGAGCGCCCAAGATGGCCAACGATGGCACCCAGAAGGCCCTCGGCAGCCCAAAACGGCTCACAATACTTCAACATCGCTCAAGATGGCCTCCGACATGCCTCCAAGACGGCCCAAGACGGCCCCAATACTGTTCCTAGTGCCCTTCGAGTTTCCCGAGGCACCCCCCAAGAGGCCCAAACCCTTCAACAAATTAAGAACATCAATGCATTTTGGCGTCTCGCCTTCTCGCTTCCGATGGGCCTCCTGGCCCTCAAGATGGCCCCAAGATGGCCCAAGAGAGACCCAAGAGAAGCCCAAGACAGCCCCAAGACGGCCCCAAGAGCGCCCAAGATCGCCCCAAGAGGGCCCCAAAAGGCCATCTTGAAGCTTCCAGGGGGGGGGGCCTAAATTGATCCCCCCTTCTTCGATCGTCCTCCAGGATGGCCTCAAGAGGCCCAAAAGGGGCGCCCAGCATCACCAGGGATGCACTCAGCATCGCCAAGCCCCCAAGAGGCCTCTGAGAGGCCCCCACGAGAGACCAAAGTGGCTCCAAGAGGCTCCTCCGAGGCATCAAAGACGCTCCAAGAGGCCCCAAGGAAAACCAAGACCTCTTCTCCTCCTCCTCCTCCTCCTCCTCCTCTTCCTCCTTTTCCTCCTCTTCCTCCTGCTGCTGCTGCTGCTCCTCCTCCTCCTCCTCCTCCTCCTCCTCCTCCTCCTCCCTCCTCCTCCTCCTCCTCCTCCTCTTCCTCCAAGTCCAATTCCAACTCCTCCTCCTCCTCCTCCTCCTCCTCCTCCTCCTCCTCCTCCTCCTCCTCCTCCCTCCTCCTCCTCCTCCTCCTCCTCCTCCTCCTCCTCCTCTCTCATTCGGGGCGATCTACCCACGTAGAGCCACGGCGCCAAGTCAACCTGTTCAACCTACCATTCGACAGTAGGGGGTCCAAATACTGTGCCACCGTCATTCCTGGCAATTCTGGGCTCTGACGAAGGGGTCGAATTTAAAATGCAACTCAATTACGAGACATGTTAGGACCCTTCCCCAGCTCCGCTGCCCAGGAAGGGTCACCCATAGACTATCTAAATTTGCTCTTCCCCACGCCACGTCGGCAAAGGGAGTGTTCACCAAAAAATCGAATTGTCGAAATGCGAAACGGGTTTCCCGAATGCTGGCGGCGGCCCCCAGGGGGTGGATTCAAGAAATATCGCAGGAGGGTAAAAAGGCGAAAGGCTTTCCCAAAGTCGGCGGCAGCCCCCAGGGCGGGTCACTTTGTAAATCTGCGCAGATTCCCTGTGCATCTTCGCCAGAAGGGCTGGATCGAAGCGACAAAGCGACAAAGAGCGGGGCCCCCAGGGTCCGGTCATTTGACGACTCATCCAACACATGTTCCCGCCCTCCCCGCACCCCCTAAAGGCATCCAAGGCGGCTGTCGCACTGTATGCTTCTACGCTGCCCTCCTCAAGGCAACTCACATGGTGATCGTGTCTGGATGGGCTGGTGGGGATTTTTTTTGATTTGCGGCCCGCAAGGAGAAGTCCAGAGGGCGTGTCACTAGGCAATGGGGCGCAATGCCAGAATATAAGGGATGCAGAGGACCACTGGGCGAATGCCAGCGGAAGCCAACGAGTAGGCGCCCTGACGACGCCAGCTCGCAAGCGGAGCTGCCACAGACTGTCGGCAGACTGTGCACAAACCAGGACCCACAGGTGGGGAAACCTGACCAGCACCTGTAAGGAAAGCCCAGAGAGCCAGACAATTGCACAAGCAGGTGCCGGGCCAGAAAATTGGCAAGCGGCTGGACGCGCAGGCTGATGCCACGCGGCCCAACAGCCCGATGCCGGGAGTGCACATGCAAAGAACCACTGAGCGATTGCCAGCGGAAGCTACGAGGAGTTGCCCTGAAGGCACCAGCTCGCAGGGGGAAACGCCACAGACGCCGGGCACAGGGCCTGTATCCCCTGCAGCCACAAGGGACGTAGCCCAGGAAGAAGCGAGAGGACAAAGCGGGAAAAAAGCACAGAAGGCCTAGTGACGAGGCGGACTCATTCACCGAGCACCCTGTGCTCGTCGGTGGCCCTCCAAGGCCCACCCCGAGGAGAACAGACGACACCTCCCAAGTGTCGGTGGGCCAACCACCTGAAATGACGAATGAAGAGGAACAGCCGTGGCGGACACCACATCCCATGACGCCAAACTTCGAGTACCGAAGCCATTGATCCTGAGGCAGCCACCAGAGGACCCGTCACCTGGGGTGGTGGTCGTGGCGCGTGGCGCCGCCGACTGGTGGGGATACGCAAAACGTCAAGGATTGGTCTGTGGTGTGCCCATGGTGAAGTCGGCAAGCATTCCTGTGCACGCCTCGTGCTCAAGCTGGCGCCTCTGGTTGGGGGGTGTATCTCGTGGGTGCGCTGGTGGGTCTTGGATCGCTGTCGTCGCCAAGGCTGTGGTGTG